CTGGGTCCTGGCAAGAGTTTTTGCGTTGCCCGATCTGGACCGGCGGTGACAGATTTGAAGGGGAACCCGCAGTAATCCAACACAAGGTCAGCACAGACCTATGGCTTTGGGACTCCGCGCCTATGGAACTTTTGCCGGACTTCTCCTTCAAGGTCAAAACTACCCTCACACCCAGGTCTACAGGAAACCATAGTTTCAGCTTTGCATCCGTCGGACCTGGGCGCATGTTCATCAATGGACAGATCTTCATCGACAACTGGGATTGGACGCAAGAGGGCGAAGCAATGTTCTCTGCTTCCGAGGATGTGCTGAAGTCGATCTATCTTGAACAGGGCAAGCCAGTCGAGATACTGATTGAGAGCACTAATGAAGTGCGTCCTGCATCAAAGGTATCCGTGATTGGCCGTCGTCACGATTACGGCGGTTGCCGCATCGGTTATCAGGAAGAGGATAAGATTGATCGGTTACAGGAAGCTGCAGATGCAGCACGAGAGGCTGATGTTGCTGTTGTTGTGATTGGTCTTGACGCTGAGTGGGAGTCGGAGGGCTATGACAGGCAAACTATGGACCTACCAAAGAACGGCTCTCAAGATCGGCTTATTGAGGCGGTTCTTGCGGCAAATCCTCGCACAGTCATTGTCAACCAGTCTGGAACGCCAATTACTATGCCTTGGGCCGACAAAGCCCCTGCAATATTGCAGGCGTGGTATCAAGGTCAAGAGGCTGGCAATGCTCTCGCGGATGTTCTTCTCGGCAACAGTAGCCCCAGTGGGAAATTACCAACGACCTTCCCAGTACGACTGGAAGATAACCCGGCCTACCACAACTGGCCAGGCGAGAACCTGAAGACCGTTTATGGCGAGGGCATCTATGTGGGCTACAGGCACTACGAACGTTCGAAGATTGCGCCTCTCTTCTCCTTTGGCCATGGGCTTACGTACACGACATTTGAATACGGAACACCAATTGCCAGCAGCAACATACTTTCCGAATACGAAGATATTGAGATAAGAGTGCCAGTCAAGAATATCGGCTCGTTTGCTGCCCACGAGATTGTGCAAGCATACGTCAAAGATGTCAAGTCGACTCTCCCAAGACCAGAGAAGGAACTCCAAGCGTTTGGTAAGGTGTTTCTGCAGCCTGGAGAGTCCCAGCATGTCCTTTTGAAGTTGAACAAACACTCGGTCGGATACTTCGACACAAGTCTTGGTCAGACAGGCGCATGGATTGCAGAGGAGGGTGCATTCGACGTATTAATTGGCGCAAGCAGTGCAGACATTCGGTTAGTGCTCTTATTTTCATTTGGACGTTGAACACGCTAACAACAATCTCAGGGCAATAGTGAGCTTTGAAGTGAAGGAGTCTTTCCAGTGGATTTTCTAGGATTACCAAACGCTACTGGAAGATATTTAGTGCTATTACGAAGGCGTTTTGGAGCTTGGCATGTTGCCCCGACAGTACATCGTGTAGAGGGCACTATTTTGTAGTCTCTAAACTAAGGCCATAATGCGCTTGTGCAATGAATAGTATCTTGCTTTTCTGAATATGTGACACCGAAGCTGCAACGATGATAAATATCATTACTGTAGATTCACGAGGCAAAGGCTGCAACTTGAAGTTCAGGTGACATGTCACTTTACGCTGATTTAGAACGTTATATTCCGATTCACATTGAAACATTTCATCAACAAGGCTGCAAACAATATCTAAAAAGTTCGTCACGCTTATTGTGTAGGTCCATTGTTGGAAGTACTCTGTGCGGCTAACTGTCATGCAGGGCAGTGAATAAGGACGGCCCGAATTCAGGCACGGCCAATAATAGCTAGGCTGGCGATGACGCGCGATGAAATACTGCCACCCACCGCCTTTCGGCTGAACCTTTCACCGAGACCCTGGAGAGAAACGGGGCCAGCTGCCACTCTCCCCATCGCATCATCGCCTCTATACACTGCCCAGCGCTTCCCAGGTCGTGTCAGACGAGCGCATAAAGTGGCCATTCATACCCTCTCAATTTTGGAGTTTGTGTACTGTCGCAGCGACCACAGTGCGACTTTGGAGCTGGGCCGATCCCTCCTATAAACAGTGATCAGCCGAGCTTCACTGGAGCACACCAGCGCAAACGCGCCACCACACCAACCACATTTTCAAGCTTCATGTGAGCCTCATCAGGGTCTCATTCACTGAAGTCGCCCCAACGCGTCACTCTTTCGGCAAACGCGACCATCTTTAACACCGACAACCCGTTGGCAAAGCGACATGAATCCGGCGCATCGCGACGGGTGGCCACCGACACAGCCGGGCGTGTCTCAGCAAGGTCCTCAGCAAACAGAGCAGGGTCAAGGACAGGCGCCACGGCCCCTGGGATCATATGGGTGCGTTTTTCCCTCACCTCATCTCGGTTGGGAGAGCGACCATGGAAGAGGAGACATTGTTCTCCACTCCATCCCCCTTAAGCTGGCCTTTCACTGACAATTGGAACTATGGCAGACCGAACAATGCAAACCCACAGGGTCCTCCACATGCATCCCCAGCACAAGGTCCCGGATCTGTACTCCCACCTCCATCTGGTATGTTGCGGTTGCGAATGATGCGTCTGTCTAGCACACTGACTCTTTCATAGGTGGTGGCGGCTATTACTCTTCAAACGCAGTAGCAACGCACAATCAAAGCCTGCCCACGTTGCCAGGGATGACAACGCAAGCCCCACATTCGTCCCCGCACCAGTCTACACAGAGAGCGCCTTCGTCTGAGGCCGGAGGACAGGGGCATCATGGGCCTTCGGCCCCATCTTACTCGTTGCCAGGCATATCGCAGACTCTTCAACAACAACAACAGCAGCAACAGCAGCAGCAGCATATGTCTTCTTCGGAACAGGCAAATGCGGACCGCGAGCGTGAACAGCGCGAGCGAGAGACACGCGATCGCGAGATGATGGAAGCGCATGCCATGCAACAGCATGCTCAGCAAGAAGAAATGGCCAAACGTGAAGCAGAGCATCGAGAACGAGAGCACCATGAGCGGCAGCAACGCGAGCAGGCAAATGCTCAAAACCACTCTGCACCCATACAGATTCACCAGCCTGTGGCGGTGGCCCCCTCGACCCGAACCATTCATGGACCGAACGGTCTGTTAGGACAAGCAGGCCCTATGAATGGTCCCAATTCTCTCGCGCCACCTATGGGTGGACCAGCTCCTGCTGCTGGGCCAATGTATGGTGGTGCCGCGCCTCAGCATGAGCAGACCACGCCCAGAATGCAACATGCTGCACAGGCACCTTCTCAGGCTCAAATGTTGATACCATTCACTGGGCCACCGGGAGCCATGGGTATGGGCCAAGGTCAGCAGCCTATTCTGAATGATGCCCTGAGTTATCTCGATCAGGTCAAAGTCCAGTTCGCAGACCATCCTGATGTCTACAATCGCTTCCTCGATATTATGAAGGACTTCAAGAGTGGCGCAATAGACACTCCGGGTGTCATTGAGCGGGTGTCAACCCTGTTTGCAGGCAATCCAAATTTGATCCAGGGTTTCAACACATTTTTGCCACCAGGCTACAAAATTGAATGCGGTACAAACGGGGACCCCAACGCGATCAGAGTAACCACGCCTATGGGTACAATGGTCTCTACAATGCCTGCGCCAAGACCTCTCTCACCTCCTCGTGGCAATGCCGTAAATGGTAACTCTGCACAGCAGCACGAGGGTACCTATTACGAGACTGCACAGGGTCGTGCCTGGCCACAACAACAGAGAGCACCAGGTCCCGAAGGACAAGAGTCAATGTTCTCTCCCAATAATCGCAATCTTGGTCAGCCAATGTATGGTGCGCAGCAAGGTCAAGGTCAAGCGCCTCTCTCGCCGGAAGTGACAAATCGGCCTCATCCTGATCCTACTGGTTCGGCGGCGACACTCGCTCATCAACAAGAGCAAAGAGGCGTGTCCCAGCTTCAGAATGCCGTTTCTGCTGCGGCCGGTCGCTCGCTCGTGTCGCCGAGTGTTGATGGTCAGGCGCCGCTTCATGTCCAGTCTTTGAACGGTGTCATTCAGGTCGCACCTCTGGGTGGAGTTGCTGCTGAGAAGCGTGGGCCTGTAGAATTTAATCATGCGATTAGCTATGTGAACAAGATCAAGGTACGTCGAGACGCTGCCGCCGCCGTCTATACCAAGGCTAACATCACTCTCAGAACCGCTTCGCTTCTCAACCTGACATATATAAGCAATTTCTTGAGATTTTGCAGACTTACCAGCGCGAGTCAAAGCCAATCCAGGACGTGTATGCACAAGTGACGACCCTATTTGGCGGCGCACCAGACCTTCTGGAGGACTTCAAGCAGTTCCTTCCAGAGTCCGCTGCTCAGCATAGAGCGCAACAGCAGGCGGCACGCAGCGCCGCCGAGGACGCGGTTATGCTGAGCAACGTTCGAGGCGAATCTGGCTATGGAGCGACGCCGACGCAGCAAACTCCCCGTGCGGATACGTCTCGGCTGCCTCCAATGGGCAACTTCGCGCCTACGCCCACTGCGAATCGTGACAATAAGCGTAAGCGTGAACGACAAGGGCCCATTGCTGCACCTATGCCTGCGCCGATGACTCAGGAGCCACCTACGTCAAATGTTCGTGGTGGGTTCAGTCAGGGCAACGCAAACAAGGTACGTTTGTAATATTTCCTTTTTCCTATCACGTGTTAGCGCGTTCCCTCCGCAGGCTGGTGCATAAACCGCTGCATGGCCTACAGACCCACGAGCATTTTACACTTCCTACCTTCTTGCAATCTCGAAAGCCTCCTCACTTATTTGTTTCGTTTCCTACTCTATATGATGTTCCCACATGGGCCTGCAAACTGCCATCATCGTCCCACACCCTTCTGTACTGAACGCGAGGAGCTGTCGTCTGCAGAAGTTGCCATGGACGTTTTAACATTTACTAACTTCCCTGCGAAGCGCGCAAAGACAGGACATGCTGCGAAGCAAGCCATTCCTGAAGGGCCACCTGTCTCTCCGACTTTGACACCTGCCTTACCTGAGCCCATGCCGCCGACAACTACTACCAGCCCTAGTCAAGATGAGCTGGCTTTCTTCGATCGGGTCAAGAAGTACATTGGCAACAAGAACACCATGAACGAGTTTTTGAAGTTGTGCAACCTCTTCTCGCAGGACTTGATCGACAAGCAGCTTCTGATTGCACGTGCGCATTCTTTCATCGGTGGCAATCAGGAGCTGTTTACCTGGTTCAAAAATTTCATGGGTGAAGATGAGGAGCAGCAAAAGTCGCGCCCAAAGACAGTCAATTCTCGAGTATCGCTTTCCAACTGCCGCAGCCTTGGCCCAAGTTATCGATTGCTACCGAGGCGTGAACGCGAGCGCGTATGCAGCGGACGTGACGAGCTCTGTCGATCTGTATTGAATGATGAATGGGCTTCTCACCCAACATGGGCGTCGGAAGATTCCGGTTTTGTTGCTCATCGCAAGAACACCTTTGAAGAAGGACTACACAGGATTGAGGAGGAACGCCACGACTATGACTTCAACATCGAGGCTTGCAATCGCACGATCCAGCAACTCGAGCCGATCGCTAACCAGCTACTCACCATGAAGCCAGAGGACAGGACCAACTTTGTATTGCCACCTGGTCTTGGTGGCCAAAGCGAGACGATATACAAGCGTGTCATCATGAAGATCTACGGGCGCGACAAGGGCAAAGATGTCATCAAAGAGCTCTTTGCGATGCCATGGAGCGTGGTTCCCGTTCTACTACACCGTCTCAAAACAAAGCTAGAGGATTGGAAGGCTGCTCAGCGAGAGTGGGAGAAGGTTTGGCGCGATCAGACTCAAAAGATCTTCTGGAAGTCACTCGATCATCAAAGCATCACAGCCAAGCAGGCAGACAAGCGGCAATTCCAACCCAAATCTCTTACAAACGAAATTCAGGTCCGCTACGAGGAGCAGAAGCGTCAGCAAACCATCCAGGAGATTGCACAACCGGACTATCAATTTGCTTTTGGGTTCAAGGACGAGGAGGTGTTATTCGACGTTGCTCGCCTGATGCTCACCTTTGCGGATAACAATAATAGTGCCGACTTTTCCAAAGTCGTTCCATTTATCAAGGAATTCATCCCGCTCTTCTTCGGCATTGACGCACACAAGTTTGAAGAGCGAGTACATACGTCTGGCCGGGACACACCGAACGACTCGGGAGAAGATACACCTAGCCCTGATGATGACGTTTCGCAGCGCTCGCAGAAGCCGAAGAAGGGCGATTTGCGTCGTGATGTTCTGGATCCCCGTGGAAAATCACGCAAGGACAAGGAAGACAGTGTCGCTTCGGGCAGCCGGGACACTACACCTGAAATCGCATCTGGTGTTGAAGACGAAGCAAATGGCGACAGCTCGAACTCCAACCCCCGCGATGAGCGACCAGCAAGCCATTGGGTTGAGTATTCCGCCATGCCAAGCGCGTTTGGTGACAAGGAATTCCAACACGAGGAGCCTTATAGGCGGTCCGACTACAACATGTACGCGAATGCTTCAATATACTGCTTCTTCCGCATGTTCGTCATGCTGTATGAGAGGTTGTTAAAGCTCAAGGAAAGCGAGGAGGACGTCCGACGGATCGTTATGCGTGCCAAGGAGCCAAAGGCCGCGCAGAGGCTGAAGATGCTTGACAAGCAGCCTGAGGACTTCTTCAAAGATACGTCTCCATCCGCAAACTATTACCAGCAAGTGCTCGATATGTTACATGAGCAGATTATTGGCGAAGTGGACATGAACTTCATCGAGGAAACATTACGACGATACTATCTGCAGATTGGCTGGCAGTTGTACTCCTTCGATAGACTTCTCAGCTCGCTTGTGCGTTTCGCGCTTGCTGTTGTCAGTCACGATAACAAGGATAAGAGCCTTGACATATACAATCTTTTCAGGAAGGATCGCGTCAACGACACCACCACACACAAAAACGAGATCAATTACAGGAAAGCTGTGGAGAAGTATGCAAAGGATGCTGATACCTACCGCATAACCTACGTAAGCTTGCCTCCATCATTTTATACTGAACACTGAACTAATGCGACCCTAGGACCCTGCTCGCAAGGAAGCATTCGTACGACTCTTCAAGAAGGACGATCCCACATTTGAATTCAACATCGTCGACAAAGTCAAGCGTTGGCGCGCATACGTTGCATCCTATATGGCCGTTGAGCCTACGGAAGGAGTGGACGCTTCGAAAATTCACCATCCTTACCTCAAGAAGCGCATGGCCAAAGCAGAAGATCTCTCAGATGAGACTCGCTTCGAACACGTCAAGCACAACGATAAGATTACTGTCTCCATCAACCCTGCTGCGTATACCATGACGTTCATCAACAGCGAGCCCTTTGGCACCGGTGGCGTTCAGTACTTCCTACAACCAGACTTTGTTCGCGCTGGCTTAAGCGAGAGCGTACCCAAGCCAGTGGAGGAGTACGAGGCACTTATCAAGGCCCGCAAGGAGCGTGCTACTGAGATATTATGCATGAACAACGCATGGATGAAAGACCTCAGCCGTGATGACGTTGATGCTAAGAAGGCCGCCTGGAAAAAGGACCTCGAAGAGGCCAGGACCGTGACTGACGACGACGATGTGGACATGGATGGAGCCTAGTCATCTCCTTTGGGGTCTTCAAGTTGCACAAGCCATGATTGATTTCTTTGAGCCGGACGTGGTGCAACAATGGTTGCATTGAAAGGGGTAGTGACGGGTGGGGATGTGGGTTCATCAACGACCCATTCTTGACTGGATTTATGTTGGTTGTGTTCTTTATGAATGGTCTCTTGGAATTTGTTGTAGCATACGATGCGTTTTAAGTGGCGTGGCGACGAGTCTGCTGCGCTGGGTTGAGCCTGTTGTCTTCTTGGTGTTTTAGGGTCTGATACCTCCATTCATATTCTTCTTTTTAAGATCTTCAACCAAAATTATGGTTTTACTTGGAGCGTTTTTTGTTGGTGATGGCGATGATGGCGATGATGGCGACATGAAGTTTTCCGAGAGGATCTTGACCTTTGAGGAGATAAAGCCATAGGTGGTGCTTTAGTGAAAGAATGTTGATAAAATTACTAGGTTAAAAGATATTTAGGAGGTTTAGTCCAAGGAGTAAGTGTCCTGATACCTTTTTTTCAAGATGATGACTGAGAATTTACGGCATAAAGGGTTCCCATCGCAGATACTATCGTGACTTGAACTGCAATGGGTCATGAATTGTGTTGAATGCTTGCTATTTTAGAGCCAGCAGAATATTTTGTTTGGTGCAGTCGAAAATTTTGCTCAGTACACTTGAATATCTTTCTGAGCCAGCCACCTATCGGGCGCCTCACACATTGGGGGCGAGACTATCAAGTGAAGGTAGAGGCAAACGCTAGTGTTGGCGCGATGTATATACATACATATGAATATAATGAATATTTTTATATAAACCCAAGCCTGCTCCTCATTCTCATATTCACGTCCAGTAGCTCTCCAACTTCTTAGTGAGCTACTAGATCCTTCATAAGCAATGGGTACCATAAGTACCCTAGTGCTGGTGCGAAAGGAAATACCCACAACAACACAGCCATGTGAGTCTTCTGATTCTGCATATCATACACTACCAACTAATAAAATTGAATCAGCAAGCGCAAAACGCCCACCTGCCACTTCCTCCGTCTTCCAGGGGAGCTTCGAAACCAGATCCACGCCTGCGTAGTCACAGAAGACTACCACCTCAAGGGTCTTCGTCGACCCAAGAAAACAAAGTCAATATTTCAGCATTCTTGCAAGCACCGTGCATCCCTGCTCTACGTCTGCCGACAGATTTACACCAAGACCGCTCTTCTCCCCTTCCAGCTCAACACTTGGCGCTTCACATCCTACGTCGGCATCGAGGTGTTGCATGCCAGACTGACGGCACAACAATGCCGTGCTATTCGCTCAGTCTGCATGCATCTCAAATTGAACGATCATCCGAATAGTCGAGACACCAGATCTGCACTCATCCAGAGGGGTGCCGGAAACCTGGTCGACTTGCTGCCAGGCTTACGTTCTGTGTAGGCGCTGGTTTTTTACGGCCGATCAGTGCTAGTGACGACTTGAGTGGTCTGGAGGAATATATGAAGCAGCTGAAGGCATGGATGAGCGGTGGCGGCCGTCAGATGAAGGTGTATATGGATCATTATTTTGGATGGCGGCCACCATACCTTGAGCGCTGACTTGGGGTATGGGGAATTCAGGCAGTGAAGGATTTAGAAATCAGGGCTTTGGTTTGTAACTATGGGGGCTTCACTGGGTTTGGAGAATATATCCACCACAGAACGAGCAGCACGGAGGGGTTCGATCTGCAAGATATATCCCGGCACATTACATGCATCATAAGACGTTGATAGCTCACAGCTCAGGGCTGGAAAACGGAGAAGGTCACATTGATTAACTAAAGCATCGGATGACGGGGCATATATCCGTTTGCAGGTTCCCTTGTGGATGTGATGGGGGGTTTCTTTCGACGATTCAAAGATTTCCAAGTTGTATTATCCAGTTGTATGACATTCTGAGGCCACTACAGCATTTGTGAGCGACAAGTGATGATATAATATATTTGTGCTTTTCAATAAGAATACTCAATTAGCCCCAGACTGAACCATGGGAGGATGGACGCTTTGTGCAGCAGTACTTGAACGCTTCCGCACAGAACTTGACTTAGAGGCACCCCGACGAATATTTCTTCTCCTCCACGTACAACTAACGACAGCGCCCTATAACACCATCTCAATCAACACCCTGCAGCAGAGAGTACCCATACCAGTACGGCGTTTTGCAACACACATCCCTCTCTCTTATTTAGCTACTCCTTTTCTCCTAGCCCTTCCTATACTTTAGACGCGCATATCAAGCAGCTGTGATTGTACACTTAAGCTAAAGCGCTACACACATGAGTGACTTTGCAATCCATATCCTGCAAGTGATTTGCAAGCAGAACAAAGGGTCGTTCTTTCCTAATAGAATCTACGACATCACCGCCTCTTCATTAATCGCAACGATCCTCGGAAGATTTGTGGGCGATCCAGAATCAGGCTTCACAACACATTAGCACATTTCAGTGCATTTTTGCCTGTTTTCCATACCATCACTGAGTTCGAGTACTACCACGTGTAAATATTGTCCGAGATGTTTTACATGTACCGACTTCTGTACATACTGGCCTCTCGAAAACGTCGACCATCATTTATGTGCTGTCTCGAACCGTTCTCTCACATGATAGACTTGTTAAACAGCTAGCGATGCTGTCTCGATGGTCACAATGATCCAAGGATTTTCTGGGTCATAGCGTGCAGCAAATCATAAAACCTACTCTGTACTTCATACCTACTCTTTAATACGGTCTGCCGACTCTCGAACTATCCCATCAAGCGCATGATCAATCCTAATCCGTCCTGTAAAATCGTGACAGCAGATACTCACATTGGGGCGGGTGTTTCGCTTGCCGGCCCTGTTGTAGCGGAACATACCGGTACCCCAAGGCCAGATCTTGCAGCATCTAACACACTACTATTACAAGAAAGTTTTCATTTTCTTTCTGAATACTTTGCTTATACAATTTCGTGACTATTTTTCATAATCCACTCCTCACTACTTGCGTCGCCTGCGACTTTGGTTCCCGCGGGACATCTATTTTCGTGTATGGTCGTATTCTTCATGATTCGAATTCCGTTATCGGGCATAACTTCAACCTCCCTGTCCAGAGCACCTCGTTCACTAGTAGTCCAAGTTCGAGCGGCGTTGAGATTGTTTACACTAGTGTTTTCGAAGTCTTTGGCGCACCCCTGAGGTTCATTCGAGTCTAGCCTATTAGGAGCGGCTCGCTTTGAAGACATGGAAGCCAGTCGCCAGGAGGATCCTTCACTTCGCTTTTGGGTTTGATGTTCTGCACTGGAAGACGAATGAAAATACTGCGGGAGGACCATTGCAAGGAAGGGTCGCAAACATGGTAGACAACCACTCATGATGCCAACATTATACTCGATGGCGAACATGATAATAATCTTATCAGCATGCCCTGATAATTGATCAAGTTAGCGTCACACAAGCAAGCTGCAATAACATAAAGACTTACATGTGATATCCCACTCTGTAAAATATGACTGTGCATACACAGTCTTCAGAATTCCAGCCAAAGAGGTCAAGACCCCGAAGGCAAATACTGAAATAAGATGCATACGTTTTCGTAAGGGTAACCTCATTCCCCATAACGGCATGATGGGCCAGAGGAAGACAATGACATCGGAAAGAGCGTTGAGGGCCATGCTTATTGTTATCAGAGCACGAGCGTCAAGGCATTTCTTCTTGGTGATCGTGAAGTCCCAAAAAGATTCAATTGGACTAATGCAACGTTAAATCAAGTCAACGTCTCTACCACCTTGTTGGACGAATTACCTGCATTGCACAATATAAAGTGTCGAAATGATGATGTTCCATAATACCACGTAAGTGATCATCGTCCAACTAAAAATCATGTTGGTATTCGACGGGAACAGGCGAAGGTACGTCAGACAGACGGAAATCTTGGCGAAAGTGATGCATGAGTTGGAGACTGTGAGAAGGGACAGGTTCAACTGCAGGATTTCAGCACATGGAGTTTAGGTAGACCGTGGTCACATACCTTTGCAAAGTTCATAATCCACGCTGGTTTAACGTCGTAAATATGGCGTCCAACAACATGACTAGTCCCTACTAGCATAATAACTGAGGCGGCAACAGCAAGAAACTACAACGATTAGACTGGAAATAAAGTGATGTTGGACAGCCGCACCGCTGAGAATAACATGAACCAATCCTCTCGTCCTAGGCCCGTCTTCGAATTTGCCCGAACATAAAATCTAGCACCGATAAAAAGCAGCATCAAGATGGTGGTCGAGTAAATGACGGCATCGGTAGCGGACTGTCGTGTGACTGGGTTATCGTAATTTGGTCGTGGCCATGTTGCAATGATAGCCGGCGTAATTTGGTCCATATTGACTGCGGAGAGAATATGAAAACAGCCTGAAAAGTGTGAGCAGCAGCATTTGTTTTGGATGAGCTGTGCATGAGAAATGCAGTGGTCGTCTTGGAGCAATGTTTGACAGGTCGAGGTACATGCAAAGTGGAAGGATCAGACGGTCAGCTTACTCCATTGTTTAAGCAAAGAAGCTAGATGCGGTTGGGAGCTTACTCTATACCATCAAGAATTGATGACGAAGGTTTGAGCTAAATACCGGGCCGGTTCAAGCAATCTTTAGATAGTTCGTATGGTGGCCCGGGCGGGCGTCGATCCAGAAGGGAGGATACATACCATGGTATCAGAGCTTTTGCCCTCGATCCTTACAACGACGCTCCAAACAAATCAACACCATCATCTATAGATGGAACCCATTTGTAATTTTACCATGGAAATCATTACCATTATTGTTGTACCTGGTAGTGGCAGGGGATAACGAGGAGGGGAGGGGGGGAAGGCGGCTGCACAAGCTCAGCTGCTACGGTACCGGTACATTATCATCAGCATCACCACTGCACGCCTAAAAGCAAACCATCGTCAAAACTAAGCATAGAAATTACTGCGTATTTAGTCCAGCCTCTACCCAGACCAGCGATTACGATAGCTCCAAGTTCGAACAACTTACAAATAACGTAGACGCAGACACCAGACATTTTGTTTGACAGAGGGATGACTACTGTAAGTGAGCCAGTTTGAGGTTGGCCGCGTTACCTTCCTTTCAGGAGATGGACCGCCAGCCGAGGTTTCATCAAGCAAGTGGTGATCTAATACACCCAACATATTAAGGCGATGTCTTGTCGTCAGTTTTACATCTTAGATCGGACATTAGTCTAAGAATGTGCCTAACTGGCGTCTATTACATTCTATGGCATTGTACCGGTAGCAGACGGAAGCGGCCAATTCGTAGAATTTGCCGTCGTGAGCAATTAAACTTCAGCCATCCCTACTAGTGCATCCTCTTGTTCCCGTGGTGCTAAGTACATAGCGTTGGCCAAACGAGTGCTCGTGGCAAACAAGAGATCTAAGATGATGATGTGACGTGCCTGCGTCCAGGTGGCAATCCTACCAAAAGGAGAATGAAATTCCTTGAACCGTTAATGTAGACGCTGGATCTGTAGGTGAATTTGCTGACTTCTCTGTCGAACAGCCTAGGGCGGGGCTGCCCATGAAATCCAGACAGCCTGCTTGATTTAACTCAAACCGCTAATTTTCCAAAATGATCTGCACTCGCTTTCATCGACAGGCGATCATATTGTCCGTGATGATGGACTGAGCACAGTAGACCCATGAGCGGAAGCGGATTCAGAGTAGGCTCAAGAGTTCAAGAGCCTAGCAAAAACGGATAGATTGTTACATGCCGATGCCTGGGCAGTATTGGAAATCAAAATAGAGTTCACCGAGACCATTGCCTAGGTACATGACCAATCAGACCCTTTGCTTCTCCTAGATAGATAAAGACTAGACATGATCAACTTTCTTAGCGGCCTTGTGCGGGACCCGGTGATTGAGCAACAGGCACGCATGTGCGGAATATCAGCGATCCTGCACAATTTATTTCCGCGTATGGTGTACCGCACGGTACATATAAGGGTTTGTTCCTCTCGCTATTTTAAGCCGACATGAACTAGCAAGGGGCGAGTGTGCTATGCCTGAAGCGTCTATACAAATCTCATGAGCACAGCTGTCACAAGGTATAACCAAACTTGCCGCCCAGTTGGGTAGTCTATGAGAATTCTGGAGCCTTGAAATCGATGCCAGCGATTCGAGATAGCCTAGCCGCACGGCACGTAGGGGTGCGGATGATGTCAGGATTGTCTTTACACCGTATAGTCAACCTTCTAGTTCATACGTATGTCATGGTTGTTCGTTTTTCTCTATGGCCTTTGATTGTGTTTCTTCCCAGAATCACTTTGAATATGCACAGTATCATCAAGGAAGGCCTCAGACACAGAATTGTTCACCGAAAATCTAACTCCATGTGGAGGACAAGTTTGAACTCTGTAGAAGACAAAAGTGAATTCGAATCCCAAGAGTGACGAGACAATGTCATCCCAGCCCAGCTCCTAACTGCCTATATCGATTAACTTGATTAGGAGGCAGCACTTCGCAATGACTTAGCAGTAGATAGATGCCCAACAGGGATGTAGATCCAGGATGAGTGATCATCGAGGTGCCCGATGCACTACCTTACCAACACATATGAGCTGGACTCTGGAGACATAGGGCTCCGCTTTGCTCATCCGCATCCCCTCTAACTACCTCTCACAATCGCTTAGCTGGCCTGTCTATCTGCCCGCCTTGCTAGCACGACCACTGTGCTCCAGTTCATGTGTACGGGACGGAATACCCAGCAACGGTTTATCTCATGAATCAGGCACTCCGATGAGCAGATTTATCAATTCTCAGCCAATAATAAGAGTAGCATAGAAGGTTAATTTTCTTAGCTAGTTATATTTCAACAATGTAAGGGGACGGCGTAGCTGTAGCAGAGCGCCCAAGGTACTACTAGTAAATCTAGTTTTTGTTTTGGTATAATGCAACTTTCAATCACGAATTAGTTGTTTTCACGATAATACTAGAGCCTACAACTTTCATCTATAGATCCTTAGGCGTAGTAGAAGTTGTAGTAACAGATCTTGATCTTATATAATAACTATAATAATAACAATAACATACTGCATAATATCGATGTACATCGTACCGCAAGCTCTTCACGTATTATTCGACAGTGGTACTATGGATATATCAACACCGCGCTCAATAACCACCCCAATGTCGTGATATATATCGATACCGACCTCGATAACGGGATATATCAATACTTTCCTCGATACCAACGTCGATATCGCGATATATCGATACCTACCTCACCACCCACCAAGATTACAGCTGAAGCCGTACCCTTCATTCCTATAAATTAGGACTACATTCTGGGATGGGGAAATGCGCGTATATTATTTTTATATGCCCATGTCGAATTCGAGAGAAATGGATGTTCAAAGTTGTCTTCAGGAGCGGGCGTCGCACATAAGGTATGCTTTGATAGATTCAAGCGAAATTTCATCGAGCAGAATGCTCCCTTCCACAGAAACGTGTTGACTTTGAAAGTCACACGGTTTGAGGTCAAGCATGGCGTCTAGTAGAAATATTGGCCTTGATGAAGCGAACGATCTCAGAGCGAGTATCGCTTTTTGAGCATAAGGGTTGCGATCTCTAGATGCAGTGACTGCACGGGAGCTCCGTGATCTCTTACAGGTCCCATGATACCTGTGTGTGTGTGTGCGGCCTGCCTCAGTAGGGAGTTGAACCACGGGTGGTTGTTGGAAGCAATCCATGGCTACATTCACCCGCGTAAAAGATCAAGGAGTAGTAGGCCTAGGTACGGAACACTGAGTCCAGGTTTCAACTGCACGGAAGAGTAGCTTGTGGCTTCTTCTTAACGAATAGGACAGCCTTGTGTCGCCGTTCCTCGAAGCCAGCGCTCTCTCCCTTGTGACCCTCCATCCAGCAGTTCTGGCAATAGAGGTCGTTGTCGCACCCAATGCATCGTAGCGTAGCATCATCCTGGCAGATGATACACCATGTGTCGATTTCCTCGTCTAAACGTTCTTGTAGATTGGATGAGAATGCAGGTTTTTTCCGAGGCGCAAATGACGGTGCGGACGGGAGACCAAGTGAGTCGGTTTGCGATGGTGACGGCGCAGAAAGAGCAGCTAGGCGTGCAGTAAATGCGTCTTCAAAAGCTTGCGTGCGTTCAAAATCATTATCAGCAAGATCCTTGGGTGCTGATGGGAGAGTGAGGCTGCCAACTGAACTATCGGCACCAGAGTTGTTCTGTTGGGCTCTCGAGTCGTCATCTTCCGATGGAGGCGATGGAGGATCGTACTTCCTGCTGATTTCCAACTCGGCCATCACTTTTGCAATCACATCTTCAGCTTCATCATCCTCGGTCTTTTTCTTGTCATCCTCATCGTCTTCGTCGTCCGTGTCTTCCTTCTGCGCATTCACGGTTCCGCCAGCAGCGTTGACCTCGATGCTTTCCCAATCTGTGAGCTCTTCTTTGGCGCCTTCGCTTCTGGCTGCCTGTCCATGCGCTACCTCTTGTATTCTACTGTTGACAACCTCTGGGAGAATCTTCTTCATGTCTTTCAATAATCTGCCCACATCTGCCTGCTCCTTCCCACTGATGTCCCATTCTTTCCTATCTCCCACTGTACCATTTAGCTCACCAAGTAGCTCTTGAAGGGTCTTCTCATCTTCCTCGTTAAACTCAACATCACTGCCTCCAACTCCCTGAGCTATACCCTCAAGGTAGCTGGAAGGACCTGGTGCCATGACTGGCGCAACATTGTTGATAGACGTAGTCCGTGAAGGCTGAGGCGAATTTGACGGCGAAGGTGAGCCATGACGTGCGAACCGGGCGGCAAGATCATCTGTAGCCTTTGTCCGATCTGAAGTAGCGACAGAGAAGCTGTAACTAGGATCTAGGCTAACAGACGACTTCTTGAGAGCATTGAGGCGGGCGAGGAGTTCATCATCCGTTGAAGCGGGTCCTGACATTATGAGGGCGGAAGAAAGTCAAAAGAGCCGTATTGAGGAAAAAGTAGCGACCACATAGGTCCGTCATGTCACGCCCATACTGCACAGGACTAGATGACGATGTCAACCACACGGAGGTGTGCGGAGCGGCAGTGCGCTTGGTGCCTTAGGAGCTTGGTGGGGGCGGGGAACTTCGATGGTGTCACTCTTGCAACCTTCTGCACACATTTATAGGTGGTATAGTCATACTATTATCAGCCTAGAAGGAACTTAGTCAAGAGTCGGAAAAGGCCAAATTGACTCAATCTCGTGGCTGTGTACCGTTATAGGATCAACGAACAACCGGGCTTATGTCGTCATAGGTATCTTGAGCTCTTGTACCGTAATCATCCAGCTCTACCGTACCCAGGCCCTCGAATTGCGTGATTCCGCAAACAGCTTCTTACTACATATAACACCACTTCGTTGACCCAACGCTCTTCTCTATCAAATTACTCCTCAAAGGTGACAACAGAGAATCATCGACAATCATAATGGCTCTCGCACCCAAGTTCGCAGGCCAGAAACTGGCATCAAGCGCCATCCAGCCCAAGGCAGTCCACACTATCGAAATCTGTAAGATCCCCCAAACAGCAATCAAGACAAGACATTGTACACATGATAAACCGTATACAATTTCAACACTGACAAAACTGTATCCTAGATCTCGACTACGTCTGCCCTTTCAGCGCCAAAATCTTCAAGACCCTCTACTGCAGCCCGCTCCGCAAGACGCTCCTCGAAAAATACAACGACCGGGTCGTCACAATCTTCCGCCAGCAAATCCAGCCCTGGCACCCTTCCTCCACCCTCGTGCACGAAGCCGCCTACGCGGTGCAAAAAGTGGATCCCGCCAAATTCTACCCCTTTTCTGAGAAGCTGTTTGAGCAGCAAAAGGACTTCTTCGACGCCAGTGTCGTAAATGAGACTCGAAATGCAACGTACAGGCGACTAGCGAAGATTGCGGGCAGCGTGGGTGTGGATGAAGGCAAGGTGTATGGGTTGTTGGAGATTAGCGACAAGCCGGGGGAGGATGGGAGTTTGAATTCGGGGAATGGGGTCACGGATGATGTCAAGGTGCAGGTCAAGGCAAACCGGTTGACGGGAGTACATGTTACGCCTACGGTTGTGTTTGATGGGGTTGTGGCGAACGAGATCTCCAGTAGCTGGACTGAGGCGCAGTGGGAGGAGTGGTTGGAGAAGCATGTCAAGTGACTAGATGGCCATGAAGAAAAGTCGTTGTCACGGCTTTGAGTAGGGCTTGAATGAGACAAAAGTCGTCTCTCACAAGCCATCGCTAGACTAATGCAGCACCCCTATCCTTCTCAGTCCCGAGTCTACTGCACAGCATCTCTCACTACACCCTCAGCAGTCCACTTGCCATGAAATCTCTCCTGTAATACTCTCAACTTGCTAAAGAACACATCATCATCCACATAGGCCCCCTTGAGCCACCTCTCCCCCTTTGTCGCGTCAAACGCTTTCCTTGCATGCAACACCCTCCTATTATCAAAAATCACGCACTCGCCCTCATTCAACCTATACTCGTACAAATTCTCCTCACTACTCAGCAGCTTCTCATACGCATGCGAGGCCGCAATAAACGACCGTAACGACGTCTGGTTGTTGCTGCCGATGCGTGCTTCGAAGGGGCCTTGGAAGGGGGGAGACCAGTTGACGCGTTTGATGGCTAGGTTGGTGGGTTCGCTGTATTTGGGGTAGGGGAAGAGTTCCACAACGGGACGAGTGTAGTGGTAATGGTGTGTGGGGTGGTGGTAATGGTAAGTGACTGGAAAAGAACAGAGGGTGCGGAAGTGCGAAGTGGACCATTTGTGTAGTTGGTGGGCTGCGTGGAAGGAGTCGCTGAAGAAGGATTCGCCGCCTGGACAGCGGGCGCGTAAGGAGTGTAGGAATTGGAGGTGTGGCGGGTTGGAAGTGTAGAGGAGATCCATGTGTAAGCCTAGGAAATGGGGTGTGTAGGCAATGTTTTCGGCTTGTTTCTTGGAGCGGACGTCCCATGTGCGGCCGTAGAAGGTGTCTTTTAGGTTGCCGATGCGGCTTGCGAGGGAGACGACGGATTCCTCAGAGTCGGGCACGTTTTTGACAAATAGCAGGCCATATTGGTTGAGGTGGCTAAGGGCGTCAAATAGGACGCCGTCTTGGGACATGTACTCGTCGTACTCAACCCATTTGTTGTCTCGTTCAATCTTCTTCCTGTCCCAGAGTACCCTGTCGTCATGGCGGACGCCGCCACGCCAATCCACCTCGGTGTTCATTGCTCGCCGTAACCAGTCAATGGAGTGTCTTGTTCGGTGGTCCGGCCCAAAGCCTTTTACATCGCTCTTCCACTCCAGCTCAATCGAGATTCCCTTCTCCGCGTCCTCTACCGTCTTGCAGCTGCCCTCTAGATCTTCCGGGATGTCCGAAGTCTGGAAGAGTTTCTGCTTGCTATGTGGATCCATGCATTGCGGGCACGAGCAGCTGTCGCGGAGGAAGGCGGTATCGAAGACCCTTGGGCTGCCATCAATGTCTACCACCACCGTTTTCGATGGCTGTCCATCCAGCTGTCCGACGTTGGAGGCATCGTGCACCAGCTTTGCCTGCTCTTTTGCTATGCGCAGCTCCTCGTCTTGTTGTTGCTGGATCTCAAGCTTGGATGCTCTAGTCGGCCCGCCAATCGCGGGACTCCAATCCGCTTGCTCAGCCGAGCTCTGATATCGGCTCCAAAAGGCCTTGGAGAAGAACGATTGCCTTCTCTGTGTACTTGCTGCCAGCCGATATTGTGAGGGTTTCGCTGATACTTTGATGTTCCTCAGTGGCAGTTTGGTCGCGACATTCATCGACATTCTTCCCGTAGTCCCGCTCGGTCTGAGAAAAGGGACTCGCGATCAGATCTGAAGGCTGGCGCGGGGGTACCGGTACGGTAGTACGGGCGGGGGGCTCGGTTTCCTTTTCACGACGGATTCAAATGCCGAGTTCAACCATCGTTTGGAACAATTGCGCCCGAGACCGAGGTGATTAATCGTCCACAATCCAGACCTCTGCCTACGTACTTCCCATTTCTCCGGTATCCGCCTAGGACATCTCCATCACCGGCCGATCGTGTCTGGTGACCGTTTCCCACAGCGGGTGCGCGAGTGAAGCACGTGTGCACCTTGTCCTTCGCCATCAGAGTAGAAGCGCTGGTCGCATGTCCACGCAGCTCAAAGATGAGGCATGTATCTCCCGTTTGATATCTCGTTTGCATCAGCAAGATAGCTGTCGAGCTTTGATTGCTGACATGTTGTTTTTGCTGTGCAGGGCTCTCAGCAACAAGTAGTTGTAGCTGGCGCCGTTGCAGGATTGGTGTCGCGGTACGGTATAGCCCCATCCCTCGATCCCCATGATGCGGCGTGTGTGCGCGCATACTGACATTGCGACAACAGCTTCGTAATAGCCCCTCTCGACGTCATAAAAATCCGCCTGCAACTGCAAATCCACTCGCTCTCCGATCCGCTCAGCGTGAGCAAGGTCAATGGCCCCGTGTACAAAGGCACCTTGGGCACCCTCAAGCAGATCCTGCGAGAGGAGGGCATCACCGGTCTATGGAAGGGCAACATACCCGCCGAGTTGATGTACTTGACCTACGGTAGTGCTCAATTCTCTGCATACACATATGTCTCGCATCTTCTCGAGACCATCCCCCCGCCATACACTCTCCCTGGCTCTGCAACATCCTTCATCAGCGGCGCGGCAGCAGGTGCAGCAGCAACAACTGCAACATACCCTCTGGACCTTTTGCGCACCCGTTTCGCGGCACAGGGGACTGATCGCGTATACCCCTCCATTCTGGCCTCTGTGAAGCAAATTGCGCAACACGAAGGACCATACGGTTTCTTCCGCGGCCTCGGAGCTGGGGTAAGCCAGATCGTCCCCTACATGGGACTCTTCTTCTCCAGCTATGAGAGTCTAAAGCCCATCATGGCCAACTGTCCGCTGCCACTGCCGCTCGGGAGCTCGGATGCTGTGGCTGGTGTCGTTGCCAGTGTCTTGTCCAAGACGGCGGTTTACCCGCTTGACACTACAAGGAAGCGTCTACAGGTCCAGGGCCCGACGCGCGAACGCTATGTGCATAGGAATATCCCCATGTACACTGGTGTGTTGAGTACCATTTCCCATATCTGGAAGCACGAGGGGAGAAGAGGCTTGTACCGTGGGTTGACAGTCAGCCTGCTCAAGGCCGCACCGGCCAGCGCAGTCACAATGTGGACGTATGAGCGAGCCATGGGTGTCATGTTAGCCTGGGAAGAGAAGATTCAGGCAGAATAATCTTCCCTTATTGATCTAAACGGTAATCCGTATACTTGGTCGCTTATGTATCCACAATGACATACATCATTTCCCCCTACGCCTCACAAGCTAACTGTGTCTTGTACTCTCCAAAATACCATACTCACCGTCTTTTCCCCTCCATACTGCCTTGCACATGGACCTCTCCATGAAATTCCCAACACTCTTTTCCACACCCTCGTCCCGCCACCCCATCCTCTTCAACCGCTCCTGCAGCACAAACGCCAAATCCACATCTTGCATCGGCACTTCAAATGCCTCGCCTGAATATCCCGGGAACACAAAACTCAACTGGTGTGTTCTGGTAAATACATCATATTCACGTTTGAATGAGTTCACTGGAAAATGTCCTCCCGGACGCAAGGCTGATGCAGTGCGTTGGGACTGTCGTAGCCAAGCAACTGTAGAGTGGATAAGCTTCGAGTAGGTACGGTGACGAGGTCTGGCGCATGCAGAATACTGTTGTTATACCAACGCTTAACATCTCTGGGTAATCATTGTGGGCTTGTAGAGAAGAATGATGAAATGGTGAGTCGACGGCAAACGTGCTAGACCGTGAACTCGTCCTGTATGACGTGATGAACAAGCAGCAAAGTACTCCGGGAAAGGATAATGAGAGGCAGTCGTGAACGGCTGAATTGGCATACGGCTTGTTCTCTCCACGGAGAGCTCATGATGGATCGGCTGTGGCATGGGGGAGTTCATGACGGGCGGTGATCAGTAGGCTACCCCTTGTCCCCTATGCGCATATTCGGTGATACACAAACAAGCAGCCATGTCAGTATATCGTAAACTCTTGATAATCGATGAAGTCACGCGCCCTGTTTGCCTGTTGATAGGTCTGCGAGGTAAAGTAGATGCAGTCCGAGGTCGTACTAGATCTACGATACTTCCTGCACGGGCCAGCACACCCTGACCAGTGATTAGTAAGTAGTAGTAGTAGTAGTAGTAGTCCACCCACAATCCTGATCTCGGGAAGCTCGTCTGTTCAGCCAAAGCCAAGTCCCGGTAAATGCACGCCTCTCACGGCTGAACCCAGATGCATTATTGCTGACCACCCTCAGCGAAGAACCGGCGTATTGTTGGCCACCAATGCCACTTGCGCCTTGTCCTCCGTTCACGCACCAGGTAGCGGGCCCATCCGCACATGCATGACTTTCTACCTAGCTGCCGCCAAAGTCCCCGAGGCTCATAACCCCACTTGTCGATGACGAGACAATCTGCATGGCCATAGTGCGCGGACCGCCCAAGAAACATTGTCGCTTTGGTCGATCTCTCAGCTTGGCTGTAGGTGATGGATGGGTGTTGTATGTCTTCGGGCCGTACGAAGCTGAGAGCCTACTGGTTCTTTGGCTTGCGGGCTGAATGTAAGACAAGACTGCACACAAGGCAATAAGGCAGCAAAGCCTTTTTGTGCACAGATGCCAGCTCATACCGAAATATGGACCCTCATTCCCGATCTCCGTGGCCTAGTGCTTACCTTGACCGATCCTTACGTCGCATCATTGGGGTTTGATCGTCCTCAGCCTGTCGAACAGGGTTGTACATTCATCCTCTGCGTCCATGTGTTCTTTTCAGTCCTCGTATATTTAGTCACCATGCTTTGAAGCTAGACCATCTCGTTCTAATTGCTCTAGGTTGGCACTTTGCTCCTAATATGGACCCTAATACTCCCTGGCGTCGACGTCTTGTCGTGTGTTGTGATGGTACTTGGCAGTCCAGCGTCAGTACCAAGGAGAATGCACCATCAAACGTCACAAAGTTATGCCGTCTCATCGCACGCATTGGACAAGACAAAGATGACCCTTCCCAGAAATTCCACCAAATCGTCTACTATGATTCCGGTATCGGGACAGGAGCACTGAGCTCCTCCGAAGCCAAACTCCAAGGTGGCACTGGCGCAGGTCTGGCCGAGAATGTCATTGAAGCCTACAACTTCATTGTGCAAAACTTCGAGGAAGGCGACGAAATCTTTTGCTTTGGCTTCTCGCGTGGCGCATATACGGCACGAGCGGTCGCTGGGCTCGTCGGCGATGTAGGCATCATTCGACCCACGGACATGCAGTTTTTCCCAGAACTGTACCGTTTGTACATGACGAATGACGAGGGAGACGACTTTCGCAAGACAAAGTACTGGAGCTGGTTTGTGCATGGCAAACTCAGTCAGATTGGGGAGGAGCGCAAAGCACAGGGCCTCGATGTTGAAAATATTGTGCAGCACGATGGCAAGTGGACAGAAGCCGAGTTTCGCCAAATGGCTGAGGTCTGGGAGATACGACCTCACAAGCATCTGGCTCTGCCTAACAGTCGGAAAGTCAAGGTAGTGGGTGTGTTCGATACAGTTGGCAGCCTGGGCATACCGGATATGATTGGACTCAACCTTGCAAAGCAGCGGACCCAGTATGGGTTCCACAATGTCAGATTAACGGGACGTGAGTATTTCCCGCATGATTCATATAAGCTGGCCTTTTGACATGATACAGATATCGAGCACGCCTATCAGGCTTTAGCTTTGGATGAACGCCGTCGCGCGTTCCGACCAACTCTATGGTATATTCCTGATGAAATCATCAACGACCCCAACCGACCGACCCCTGAGCTGAAGCAAGTTTGGGTAAGTTTTTCTGCGTCCACATTTGGCGGTTTGGAAAGTGCGGAGGCTGATTGAACCAGTTCCCTGGCGTACACATCAACTGCGGCGGTGGTTCGGACGACTGCTTTTCGACCATGAAAGGTGACTCTGAGAGTATGTGATTCCCAGAAAGCAGTACCGGTCTCCTAGTCTGAATCTCACGCTTACCAGATATATCCACTGCAACTTTATGCTGGATGCTTCAATGCATCTCCCCTCATTTAACAATCGATCGCACCGCCTTTGAAGCCTGGCTCGCCCAATACAAGCGATGGCTGTTCCGCATCCGCTACGCATGCACATACCACCATGAAGGCTGGGGCGAATGGGCATTGAGCTTTGTGCCCAACATCCCCATCATCAACCCAGGACCCAGCGAGCTTGCACCACCCCGTCGTGACCCTCCCCACAGGCACTCGGACTTTGATTTCGGCTGGGGAACAGGGCGGCTGGCGGATTCCTACACGGCCATGTACCACCTCAACGGCTCGCCATATACCCGCCAGCCAGGCCATGAGCGCGTCGAGAATTACGACGACAAAGCTCAGGCGCACAAATGGACGCCGCTGACCAAGATGGGGCCTACGAATGAGTACATCCATCCGATTGTCCATCACCGCAGCCTGACGCATGGCTGGGACGCACATTCGCCTCTCAAGGACAAATGGAACCGCGATCATTGGCGCGGGAAAGACGGCAACAGGCGCTTTTGGTGGTATAAGGATGGGGAGAGGGAGACGTGTGCTTTGCCGGAGTGGGCCATTTTACCAAACACGTCTGACGAGGAGTACAATTTTGAGCGGAAATGGTATAGCGAGTGCGAGAAGTCGGAGAAGACGTTGGGTTTGCTGAAAAAGGCCGAGGGGTTTGGGGATGAGGACTTTTTGACCGTGTTGGATAGGCAGATTGATTTTGGGTTTGATGCGCAGCCGCAGACTCAGTGGCCTTGAGATGAATCATTGCGTGGACTTGTGGGTTCTCCAGACCTCTGGGGATATAAAAAGGGGAATGTGAGGGGTATAATTCATGTTGTGCGGATCCTATGAGCGATATGGCAAAGCGAATCCCTCGATATCATTCCTCCACATGCACTGATATGATGCCTCCATCACAATGGCGGTCCTAGTTTCCCTATGCCAGAGAAACAGCACCTAATCATCCGACCCATCCTCCGGCAGCGTCTGCAACACCTCCTCCACTATTGCTATCAGCTCATCCACATCTGGTCGCTCACTAGGCTCCAAACGCAAACACTTCCTCACCACCTCCTTGACGCTCTCCGTGATAGCATCCTCTGCGTTCTGCTTCTGCTTCCCGCGCTGCACACCCTCATCCGGAAATCTCCAGTCACCACCAAGCACACAGATACTCAGACTGCCACCCGTCTCATCTGAGCGCGCCTCAAAGGGACTCTTGCCCACGAGACAGGCGTACAGTGTGCAGCCTAGCGACCAGATGTCTACTTTTGTGTCAATCACCGAGCCGGTTTTCACGTCGAAGAGTTCGGGCGCGCGGTAGGGCATTGTCGAGTGTTCGGCGGCTGTGTCTTGGACTTGAAGGGCGAGGGAGCGCGAGGTTATGGCTATGGGGGAGGGAGCGAGGGATCCGAGATCCATGAGGATGGGACTTTTGCCGTCGTCGTCGATCATAATGTTTCCTATAGATCATGTTGTTAGCAAAGATTCCGTGGGCGTGGTGGGAAAAGCAAACATACCGGGCTTGATGTCGCGATGGGCGTACGCGCGACTTCCTCCAGGCGCGATGCCCTCGTGCGCGGCTGTCACTGCTGAATCTTCTAGTAGACCTTCTGCTTCTTGCTCGTCGTCGTCGTCTTGCGCGTGGTGCCGTCTGCTGGGTCGCATTTCCATGCTTTCCGCCGCCTCCGCATCTGCTCTCTTCGCGTCTCGCCGTACCTTCTTTGCCTTCCCTTCGCTTTGTGCGCCACCCGGGCCATCCTTGACTTTGTACTGGTGCATAGCCTTGAGCGCTTTGCACACGCCGAGGAATAAGACCATCAGCCTGCGTTCTGGGAACTTTGTGTGGTTTACGAGATTCGCGTTGATCATGTCTTGCAGGTTGCCCCGGCGGTAATAGGGAAGGAGGATGTAGACTGTCTTTGCGGATGCGTCTGACTTGTCGTTCTCAACTGAGTAGTCGATCGAGTGTATGATGTTTGGATGTGGTGCGAAGAGCGAGTAGGCTTCGACCTCCTTGAGCGCGAGGCTAACACTCTCTTGACCAAAGGGACATCGAATCTTCTTGAGCGCGAGGAGTTGCTGATTTGAATTGTCTTGCACCAAGTATACATATGAGAAGCCTCCCTGAATTCATTTATCAGTCGCCGCTGCCATAACATGTGAATGCGATCATCGTACCTCGCCCAGCAATCGCAGTATTTTGAAGCTACGACTGTTTATCTTGAGTTGCGGCGAGCTTGGAAAGCAAACCATGCAGTTTGTAAACGAGTAGACGACATCGAGGAAATATGTGCCCAACGACCCCATATTGGAGTCTGTCGATGTCGTAAACGGAGACGACGATTGTGTAGTAAGTTACCTGCAAAGCTATGGACAGCTTGCGGGAGCGCGGTGCCGAGTTGTGACGGTACAAGTGCGGTCAATTAGGTATACGGAGTAGTGCGTTCGTGATTGCAGTCGGGTGGTAGAGGGAAGGGAGGTTGTGCGACGCTAAATGCTGAGTGATGGGAAAGGAATAGGTGTCGTTTGTGTAGACGGTGCGCGACATGTCTCGGGGTTGGTGATGATGTGGTTTGTCCAGACGCGCTAGAAGTGTGGCTATGGTGTGTGGCTGTGGTATAGTTTGGTACCAAGGCCGCGACTACAGTGTGTCACACTGAAGGCTCCCGCGTTATTATGGGCCCGACCCGTGGCAGAATGGAGGACATATGGATACCGTCTGACTGTCGAATCACTAAGAGGATCATAAAATGATTAATTTTGAGTTTCTTCATCTTCGACTTGTCACGTCGTGGAATTATTAGGGGATGTGGCTCAGTGGTAGAGCGCCCGCTTTGCATATCTTCAACTGTGTTGCGGGAGGCCCAGGTTTCGATCACCTGCTTCTCCATTTTGCCAGTGCGGTGGTTCATTTTTCAAATTTTTTTTTCATCATTTTGCCGGGACTTTTTCTTTTCGTTGAGTCTTGCGCTGAGAGAGGGCTCGTGGTCTCATAGGAATCCTCATTGGCCACAAATGACGTCCTTGAGATTCCTGGTAGTACTCTAAATACTCGATACCTTGGTAAAAGTTGTATTTTTGAACAACTTTACACACCACCCTGATTTATGGGCTACTACTCTATTGCCCGGCGTCTGATTCTGATCATAGTCTTATATCACCAAGTGAAATGTTTTCTGTATCCTGCTATGACAGACACCCTCTACAGTACTTATTGATCGAAAGTATGTCCTAGGAGAAATGTGTGTGTGTCGAGGTTTGCACTGTTGAGGATGTGTCCACCATGGTTGAACTCGTACCGGTCCACCAGTTGAACGAGGTTTACTGGTATGTACCCTGCCAAAATTCTCTATCAGACACTTGAGAAGCACAGCCGTGGAGATCATCGCACACTAGGTACTGGCTCCTTGCTCGCAGCATCCTGTGCAATCTTGGAATCATGCAAAGAAGGATTTCGAGTGGGGGTTTGTTGTTTGCCTGCAACAGCCCCTGCCATGGTTGAACGGGCCGCGTTGCGTTGTTAGCTGTTGGCTGGTTAGCAAACCACAAAGAGGGGATTGAGCACACGAGCGGACACAAAACACGAGGGTCTTGAGTGAATGATGATGATTGCCATGCTGGGCCAATGCATGTCACTGATCAGGCAGAGAATGGTAGGTATGCAAAACCGCATTTGAACGAACAGACTTCGCTCGACACGTGCCAGAGCGATTGGAGCCAAGCCAAGCCCATGACGTGCCCGGTCCCAGCCAGCCCCCGTTGGAGCCGCGGGCGCTTTCGAGGCAGAAATAGCGTCCCTGGCCGAGTTTCCACTTTCTGCCCATCCCGCCCATCCACTTTCAGACAACGGCTTCCTGCAAGCACCAAGTCCAAGTCCCCCCCCCCCGCCCTGCGACCAACTGGCACACCTGAGCAGACCTTACCTAGTATATGGGCCACGAGCTGCAAACCCCATACATCTATATCTAAACGACCCGCCGCCCCCCACCAAATCCCATGTCGCTTCCACCACCCGTCACTTCACCCACTATGCCGCCGAGCAAAGGTACGAGTCCGCCCTGGCGCCCGCTGCCAGAATTTGCTCGCAGAGGGAGCGCGCATTCACTAACAGCATGGCTTGCGCAGAAACGGCACAGCACGAGTGTGTCTCCGAAGACGCGCTGCAACACCTGCGCACGTACAAATATTCGAGCGTGGATAAATCCTTCATCTCCCGCTACGTCCTCAAGCACTACGTATGAGCACGACTTGCGCTCCTCCACACACATATACCCAGACTGACGGATACAGTGGAATGCCTTTGTAGAGCTGTTGCCGCTGTGGATCGCTCCCAATCTTTCGTGGGATGTCGTTTCCAGCCAAAT